TTAGGCATAAAAGTCTTAAATTTAATTTGTTTTGGCATTAAAAAGTCTTAAATTTAATTTTTCTTGGCATTAAAAAGTATTGAATTTAATTTTTCTTGGCATTAAAGAGTCTTACATTTAATTTGTTTAGGCATAAAAGTCTTAAATTTAATTTGTTTTGGCATTAAAAAGTCTTAAATTTAATTTTTCTTGGCATTAAAGAGTCTTAAATTTAACTTGTCTTAAACTGTAGGAACCCTGTCTCTCTCATCATGAAAAATGTTGCTGACTCTGTGACTGAACTTTAGGTAAAACCTGATTACGGTACAGGTCTGAGCCCACTGTGTTCTGTGTGCTTTCAGAACCGGCCCAGTGCTTTTGGCTGCAGCCTGGCACCCGTCAGACACTCCCTGTCTGGCCTACTTTTGCCTGATCAGCCTGCAGGAGTGTGGAGCCACCATGTCTGATCAGTTCACTGTAGAGGTGACCAAATACAGCTGTCCATTTCAGGTCAGTCCTCATCCTGACGCAGCAGCTTCCTAACGAGTCAGAGACTTGTTCACTGGATCCATGACAGGGATGGCTTTATTTACTGTAGTGACATAAAGACAGAAAAAAGAGCTCTGCCACCAAAGATTAGAGGAGAAAACTGATTTTCTTTGTGCCTCAGCTCACAGAAAAGACAAGTAAAACATTTCTTTTTTTTCCCCCCTCTGAATCACTGGGTTCAGTCAGTTTCCATAGAATTATTATCAACKACCACAGAAAGTTAATTTTTGTGCTTGTGTCGGTATAATCCTGTCAGTTTTATAGGGATTGAGCTACAWTTTGGTGCAGTAGTAGCTGAGAGACATCCTCAACACTTACTGAGCATGACATGTTGTAATCACTAAAAACAGCTGCTATTATTTCTCATCATGAGTTGATCTGTCCAAACCCCTGGCATTAATGTAAGAATGTTTAAGTCTGTGAAGCTCAGGGCAGCAGTAGTGTTGTGTAATCCTGAGGCTGCAGGTTAAATCAAGGCCATGCAGCATAGAAACAATCAGATCTCACAGAGATCTGTGTCACTCCTGCAGAAGGAAGCAGCTGAAAGAAACAACTTAATGTGTAAACCTTTAAAGAGATACAAAATACAACTTTTTGTAATCGATGTTCTGTATGTTTGGACAGATTTTTACATTTAGTCAGCTCTTCTCCCCATAAAGAGAGTCGATGCACACTTCAGTGATGACAGCTTGTTTCTGTTTTCTCTGTCCACCCGTCAGAGCGAGGAGGCCCTGCGAGCGACACGCTTCGTGTTGCCCTGCTCCTCCAGCTCCACTGCCTTTCTGTACAACGAGGAGCTGGTGTTCGTCTGCTCCACGGGCACCAGCAGAGTGGCTCTGCCAGACGAGAAAATCACTTTCAGCTCTCCAGGTCAGAGGCCGTTATTTAGATCCCAGCTCATTTTGTCTCAGACAACAGTGGTGTTTCAGATCATCTATAACAGTGGTTCTTAACCTTTTTGACCTTGGGGCCCAATTTGTTGAACATAAAGTGACACGAGGCCCAGTCAGACA